ATTTTGTGTAGAATTCTGTACTCTTTAAGATAGGACCATGTTCGATTTTTTTTTAAATCTTGTCATCATCTATCTGAATTTGAGTTAGATGCTTAACATTACAGACTAAAAACATTAAAAATACGTTATTGTTAAACTTTTTCACTACTTTACGTTCAATATTATTCACTGAATGACATAAATGAATTATTTTGTAATTCAAAAAATCGAATTACAAAATAATTCAAATTCTATTGACTTTTATTAATTAATTCACAATGATTTATTAGTTTCTATCCAAGTCACCAGGGTCTACTAAGGTCTACCAGGGTCTATCAAGGTCTACCAGGATCTGGATGTTGGCGCCGCAAAACAACTTACATCACACCTCTCTCGATGTGGCTGCCACGAAACGACTTACATCACGTCTCTCTCGATGTGGGTACCGCGAAACCCTAGTAGACCCTGGTAGACCCTGGTAGATATTAATAAACTTATTATAATTATATACATATATTTTTATAAATATATGTAATATAGAAATTTTGAATTATTTTGTAATTCATTTGCGTCATGAACTGATATTATTTCATTAATTCACTTGTAAAAACATTTCGTTATTTCTTTTCTTATGTTTCTAAATAACAAAATCTTTATTTTAATTGATCAACTATAAATGTTGAAATACAATCTTTTGATAGAATGATGATTATCAACGACATCTGTCATTTATACCTGTACAGAATTTAATTTAATTAAAATAGTTTAATATCTATTCAAAGTCTCTCGGTTTTGATTTATTTTTATCTATAGCTAAAAATTCGATCCTTAGTGGCAGCTGTAGACAATTTGATTGGATAATTAGATGCATCAATTATTATGAATAGTACTAATCGATATTCGACGTCAGTTATCATTTATCTATGTTTATACTTTAAAAAAAAAAAGGCTTCAACAACATTGTTTCATCTCGATCAACGAGTATCCATTGCTGGCAAAGGTTTAGGAACTATTGCATTTATTGGAAAAACAGAATTTGCTGATGGTAATTAACATTTCTTTTTTGTTCTTTGAATTTCTATGCAAAATTTTTTACAGGTGAATGGATTGGCGTTATTCTTGATGAACCAAAAGGAAAAAATAATGCAACTGTATAAAACGAAAGGTAATGATAATATTCTATGTGATTTTTACATATAAATATTCTTTTAGATAGAACATTTCTACGATATTTTACATGTAATGATAATCATGGTCTATATGTACGACCTGGACACATTGAATCTGTAATTAGTAATTTACAATCAAATCTAACTCGATCATCTTCAAATCATTCAATACAATCTGAAGGTAGTACAGGAAGTATTCCACCGTCATCAACTTCAACAATTCCAAGAACAAGTGCTGTACCAACAAAACAAAGAGGACTTCGTGCACCAACATTAGGTACAACTACTAAACTTCTAGGTATAAAATGATTAAAAAAAAAAGATATTCTTTAAATATAAAAATAATCATAAAAAAAAAAGGAAAATTCTATTGTTTTGTATCATTATATTAGGATCTGATGGTGATATTGATCAAACAGATAGTAAAAGCATATGTAGTTTTATTTTTGTTTTTTGTCGATAACCACATAATGATACAAATGAAAATATTAGAATTTTTCATTTGTATCAATTAATTAGAACTTAGTTATGTCATGTAATCAATGGTGATGGTTTTTGTTTTTATTACCACATTCAGTGCTTAATCTTTCTTTTTTTTTTGAAGATCTTACTCGAACAGCTTTCAATCATTCACTGATATTCCAACAGCAGTAGCAACAGAACGAATATTATCACCTAAAGAAGAAATTAAATCACCAGTATCACAGCTCAAAACAACAACTTCTATGGTAAAAGAAAGTAGAATAATCTTTTCCTTCCACTTTTTACGTCGCATCTGAGAAAATCTTAAATCTATCTGTCAAATTTTTAGTCTCCTTCCATTTCTAAAAACTATCGAGAGTCTTGATGAGTAGTAGAGATTCGGATACGCGTACGAAAACTCGTTTCCATGCAGTACTCTATTGTAATTTTCAAAAATCGTTTACAGCAAGGACAGTGGCGACTATCCACCTCTATATATTGAGAAAAGAGTCACAGCATGTGTATAGTCTGTAAATGCCACATTTCGTATCCTTTGAAATATTGTTTCATCTTGAACATTCAGATCTTTGTTTGATTTTTTCTTGAAAAAAAAAAAAACTTTTTGCCTCCACCAACTCCAATTGAATCAACTAATATACCAAGAAAATCGAGTAATCAAATATCAGAATCATCTGACTCTCAACAAGTTATTATAAGTCTAAAGAATAAAATTAACGATCAAGAAGAACAAATTTAAACATTAATAAAAAAAAAGAAAAAAAACGTCGTGATGATTTTGAAAAACTTAAAGAATTTGAACGTACAAAACTTCAACTTGATCAAGTAAAAAACCTTTAAACTAAACGACTTTTCTTTATTTATTAATATTTATATTTAGTTACAAACATATAAACGTGAAACACAAGAACGTATTAAAGAATTAAATGATAAATTACAACAATAAGAACATGAATTAAAAGAAACACGTGATAAATTTACTGCTTATTGTGATGAAATGGCTGATACTGAAGTACGAATTGAATCACTTACACTTGATCTTGAAATGGCTGAAGAAAAAGTATTTATCTTTTATCTCGCTTTTTTTTTTTTAAATCATCATTTTCTTTTTTCTAGCTTGAAACTCTAACATTAGAAAATACAACATTAAAAGAAAAATTTGAAGAAGTACAATTAGAATTAGATTTTATTAACGGTGAAATACAATTAAATGGACCAAATCAAGTCGCAAATGATATTCAATAAAAAATTGATGATGAACGAACAATTAAAATGGAACAAGCATTAATT